ATAATAACGCTTATCTCTTAAGGTCATTGTGAGGATTCCTTGAGTTAGTCCAGGCAAAGGATTTAGAACAGTGCCTGGTGTATAGTAAATTCTTAAGAAATGTTGGTAATTATCATTGCTATGATTCATTTCCACCAGAATTTGAATTTTTTGTCTTATTTTCTGCTGATTGACATTCTCCAACTCCCATCATAATTACGCAAACTCTTTGGGTCATTTTTATGCAAATAGATTGGTAATAGAGTGGTTAAGTTACAGACTTTCTAGTGAAACAAAGTAGAAGTTTTCAAAGTAATATTTAAGAACTGCATCTCCTTGACTTTCTCTGAGCCTCGGTTTCTTCATCTATAAAATAAGGATGATAATAATAGTTGCCTCATAGCACTTTAAGAGGATTGAATGGGACAATAGTTGCACAATGTCTGGCAAGCATATAAAGACTGTAAAGAATATTGTGTATTCTATAATCTTTGCTGCCCAAAATATACAAAACAGCACTCTCAAAAATGCTTCTAGAAGCTTGTCAAGGTTCCAGGGCTCTAATGTCATGTCAATATTCCATCAGAAAAGAGGAAAAAGTCCACAGAAATCGAAAGGTGCTGTATACTGTGACTTTACTAGGACCCTTTGCCAAATAATGATGTAAAATTGAGAAGGCTGAGTCTTGCTCAACACAGATTTTAATTCAGTTAGAAAACTCAAATTTCTTTTTAAAAATTGAAGTTGTATATTTTTAAGATACACAGTGTGAGGTTTCGATACACATACACATAGTGAGTTGATTTTAAAATCAAGCTAATTAATATATCCATTATAATATATAAGGTCTTCACATAGTTACTTTTTTGTGTATGGTGAGAACACTTAAGATCTATTCTCTTAGCAAATTTCAAATTTCAAATATACAACACAGTATTATAAACTACAGTCCCCATGTTATACATTAGGTCTCTAGAACTTGTTCATCCTGCATAACTGAAACTTTGTATCTTTTGACCAATGTGTCTCCATTTCCCTTACTCCTTTGCCCCGGGAACCACTACTGTACTCTCTGCCTCTGTGAATTCAACTCTTAGATTCCCCATTCTAGTATTTTTCTTTCTGTGCTTGGCTTATTTCATTTAACATAATGTCCTCCAAGTTTATCTATGTTGTCACAAAGGACAGGACTTCCTTCCCCTTAAAGGCTAAATAGTATTCCAATATATACACATATATATACATACATATATATGCATATATATCCATACGTATATATTGTATGCATAGATATACATATTTGTGTATATCTACACAAACTGTGTGCATAGATACACATATGTGTGTGTGTGTATATGTATGTGTATATATCACACAGTTTATTTATCTGTCTATAGGCAATTAGGTTTTTTTCTATGTCATAGTTATTGTGAATAATGCTGTAATTAACATGGGAGTGTAGATATTTCTTTGAGATGCTGATTTCATTTTCTTGGATATATATCAGTAGAGGAATTGCTGGATTATATTGAAAGTCTATTTTTAATTTTTTAAAGAACCTCAGTTTTGGAAAACTCCAATTTCTGAGCACACTGATCCTGGACTCACACTGGGAATCATTTGAAAGGGAGGATCTAAAGCCTTATTTTTCTTCATAAACCAAAAAATAAGGAATAGAGTGAGGTAGCTTGTAGGGAAAAAATAGTTTATTGTGCTGGTTACTTCTTATGGGGGAATGTGCATTTGCATATGATAAAATATTCAAATCTCACATTTAAAAAAATGTGCATTTCTTTCTCAAACTAAAAATGGATAGGAGTTACACCTGTAAATGAAAGAGAACTGTCTAAATATTATAATTGTGTTATTAAAGAGTTGAAAATGATTTCAATCACATTTGCCATTCTCATCCAGCAGTAATGAGTGGTCTTTATTAATAATTGAAAAAAGAAAATAACCAGCCGAGTGCAATGGCTCATGCCTGTAAATCCCAGCACTTTGGGAGGCCGAGGCGGGTGGATCACCTGAGGTCAGGAGTTCGAGACCAGCCTTACCAACACAGAGAAACCCCTTCTCTACTAAAACTACAAAAAAATTAGCTGGGCATCATGGCACATGCCTGTGATCCCAGCTATTGAGGAGGCTAAGGCAGAAGAATCGCTTGAACCTGGGAGGCGGAGGTTGC